GTTCTCTATGAAAAACATTTAAAAAAATAAAAGTGCATACAGTAAAAAGTGTAAGGATACCTCAGTGCACTGCTCCGCAAAAAACCCACTTCCAGGGAGGTGGTCACGATTAAGTTGCATGTGCGTCCTTCCAGACCCTTTTCCGTGTCTGTGGACGTCTGTGCACATGCAGTCGGCATGTGTCACGCTTTTACGATGCAGCTGGAGTTTGTACTGTTTATCCCACTCTGCATCACTTTGTCGGCAACGTGGTGGGGACAGCGGGATATGCACAGAGTTGATACGTACAAAGGCGAACTCATCCTTTTTAGGGGCTGCATATTATTTCAAGGTCGGGGGTGAGCCAAAATTGAGCAGATCCGTCAACCCGGCTCCAGCAGCAACTTAGTTTGTTTCTAATTTTTCACTCTTTTGAATAATGCTTTCAGAAGCTTCCGTGTGACTTAGCAATCTAGTCTTGGGGATGTATTTCCAGAACAAGAATTGCTGTCAAACATATTTCTTAAAACACGGTTTTGTCCTTTTTTCCTGTCTATTCATTGGTTCCGGTGTTCATTGGATAACCCTGCTGAGTGCTTCCTGTGCCGGATGTGGTGCTGGGATGCAGCTGTGGACAAAGCAGAAATGGTCTCTTTCCCGATGGAAGTGATAGTGTATGGAGTCCCCACCTGCCGGCTGCTTTGTCTCTGATTCTTGTTTTAAAATAGAATGTTTTCACCAGAAGAGACTGTCTGGTGAAAAGCCCCTTTGAATTGTCCGAGGGCAGCCATCTACCTATCAGGGGGACACCGCTTATAAACTCTATTCAGGGGGCAAACAGCTGGGGCCACCCCTGCCCAGGGACAGCCTGAGGTTCCTGGGATGCAGGGAGGGGGGCCCCACCCTCCTGGCTGGGCCCCTGAGGGGGAAGTAGCAGCCACCCCAAAAGCTGGCTGGCATTTGCTTCAGGGAGGGCTCTGGGACCAACTGTGTGTGTCATTTTGAAAGTTGGTGGTTTCTTGGTTTCGGCTTTTCCCCTCCCTTCTCCGGAAGGGTCCAGTGGGTGTGGTGGGGGGGGAGCAGCGAGCTCCAGCCTTCCTCTAGCAAGCGCCCCAGAGGCAGTCCGTCTGCAAAACTTTCCTAGAAGGGCGTGCCAGCCATTGTTGGTGCTTCCAGGGGAGCCAGGCCCACATGGGGCCCAGGAGGACCCAGTGGGAAGGAGGTGAGACTGGCCTCCCATTCTTACCAGGAGCTCAGTGGGCTGGTGACTTGCCCAGACGCCCCCGGGTGGCCAGCGGCAGAGCTGGCTTCTCACCTGGGTTTCCATCTCACCCTGAAAGGTGACACCCCTCCCCCTGCCATAGCCATACTGTCCCGTGAGCACAGTCAAGGTTAGCGCTGACCGAGGCTCAGAGACCAGTGTTCCTGACCACTCCCAGCAGGGGGTCTTGGTACAGCCTCATACTTGCCCCAGGCTAAGAATCTCAAGGGTGCTGACCCTGGTACCCCATGGAATGTTCCCCATCACAACGGAGCATTTATCAAGAGCCAGGCTTGGAGCTGAGTGCTTTATGTGTAATCATTTAATCCTCACTGCAGCCCTACTAAGTAGTTCTACCATATGACCATCCCTGTGTCACAGAGAAACTGAGGGTCAGAGGTTTGGTCACCGTCCTGGCCCCTGCCCATCTCCCCTCTTATCGAAATCCACCAACACCCTCTTCCACCCGTGCTGCCCTGCCCCTCCGGGGCCCTCCAGCCAGCTTCATTTCCTCTGCCTGGAAATATTTTCCCCCAGACCTTGACCTCCTGCCTAAAATGCCGCCCGCCTACCCAGTACCCTCTGACCCTTTGTCCTGCCTTATCCCTGCATGGCCCCTCTCATTACCAGGGGCCACATGGCGTTGAGGACCTGTTTCCATCACTAGAATAAAAAGCCACACGAGGGTAAGGATTTTGGTTCATCTCTGCGCCTAGAACAGTGCCTGGCACACAATAGATGTTCAGTTTGTTGATGAATATCCTGGAGGCACTTAGCTGTACTTCCCCCAGGTACCCCCCTCCCTCCTCTCCTGAGGTCACATCCCCCGACTGTAGACCCTCCTAGCCCTGCACCTCCATCTCTCCATCACTTTACATCATTGTGAATAGACACTCAGTGGCATTTATCTGACTGCTGTCTGACTCCATGGCTAATCTTGAGTTGCCCGAGGGCAAGGATTTCGTTTGCTTCTTCCCCACCATATTCTCTGCCCTGGTCCAGCTCATGTGTGGTTCCAGATGGGTACCTGGATGTTGAATAGATGCATGAACCCAGTGACATAGAAGAGGTAGGATTGGAGCCCAGCTCTGGTGTTCAGGGCCAGACTCTTGGCTCATGCTCCCTCCTGGTTTGAAATTGTCCATCTGACTGACTGACGCTCTTGAGTCCAGTGGCTTTTACCCGATTGTGGTTTCCAGACCCAGGCGAGGCTTCCGGGGTGGCCGGCAGTGAGAATGGCTTGGCAGTTTCTGGCAGCCGGGCTTCAAACTGAACTTCACTTCTCTCAAGCCGTTGCTTCCTCCTGACTTTATTTATTTATTTCTTTTGGTTTTTTCTTTTTCTTTTTTTCTTTTTTGGTTTAAACAAATGTGCACCGCGATGGTTCAACAAGTAAGGCAAGTGCTGTGAATATGAAAGCTGTAGTGTGCAATATACCACATCTAGAACCCAGGAGAGGTGAAGTAGACAGAAGTGGTCATCACTCTAAATTAAACAGTCGGGTAATAACATCACGACAAGTTGGTTTGCAGCATCAGGAGTGTCTGTTTAGGTGTCTTTTTCTTAATGATCAGAGGTCCCACGTTGTCGCCAGTTTCTTCATTGTGTTTTGTGTGAGCTCCATCACAGAATGGGAACTCTTTGGACCTCCAACAATGGCAGCACACAGTTTTATCTCCCAAATCCTCCATGTCAAATACATGTACTAACTTGGGGTTGTCTTTTTGGATATGAGGGTTTACCATGGAATTGTTGCGATGATCTTTGACATAAAATCTTTTGTAAGCTAGATAACCAATGGCAGCTGTCCCAGCAGCAGTGGTAACTGCGGCGATCCATTCAGCTCCGACGCTGGAAGTCATGCTCACGGCACCGTCGCTTGCAAGGGTGTGCACAGGGCACTGAGCACAAACTGGCTCGCGTGGGCGGTGGGAGTCAAGGTGGGACAGGCGTCTGTCCTAAGGGCACCGGCTGCTGCGGGTTGCTCCTGACTTTGTCTTTTAAATCAAGATGCAACTTGGCCCCATGAGGCCAGAGCCCTGGAGGAAATTTCTCTTTGTGGCACTGGGTTCTTCTCTCAGCAGTAGGTGTGTGACGCAAGACTGGTGGTGTTGGATGCGTACGTAAAGATAAATTGTATTTATTTATTTTCTGTTAGTCCTGAAAGCCATACGTGTTTGTCATGGCAAACTTAGGGTATTCAGAAAAGTAGAAGGAACCTCGTCTAGTCTCACCGCCCACAGACAACGATTTAAGCAAGCTTGTGTGTTTCCTCCAATTATTCAGAATATATTTTTGCCCTTTTTTGGGAGGTGGGGCTTAATTCTGACCACACACTATATTCAACTGAGCATTCCTCCCCTTTCCTGCTTAACCTATATAAATATTCCAATACAATATTTAACATTGTATTAAACATTAAAATATTTAAATACATATTATTTTAAATTTTTTATTTTTCCTTCCAGTTTTATTCAGATATAATTGACACACAGTGCTGTGTAAGCTGAAGGTTACAGCATAGTGATTTGACTTCCATCATGAAATGAGGACCACAATAAGTTTAGTGATCATCATCCCTTTGTATATTTACAAAATAAAAGAAAAAAATTTTTTCCATCTGATGAGAACTCAGGATTTACTCTCCTAACAATTTTCGTATGTAATATACAGCAGTGTTTATTACACTTCCTATGTTGTACGCAACACCCCCAGTATTTATTTATCTTATAACTTCTGGTTGGCACCTTTGGACTGCCTTCATCCAACTCCCCCTCCCCCAAACCCCCGCAAATCTGCTATTTCTGTGAATTTGTCTGCTTTGAAGTATAATTGACAGCACTGCATTGATTCCTGGTGCCCAAGGTGGTGAGTCGGTATTTCTATAAATTACAAAATGATCACCATGATACATCTAGTTACACATCTGTTGCCACCCAGAAATGTTACATTATAATTGTCTTTGTGCCTCACTCTGTGCATTTTGTCCCAGTGACTCATTTATTTTGTATCTGGGAGTTTATACTTCTTCATCTCCCTCTCCTATTACTACTAAATGTATTATAAAAACTTAATAATTGATTAATAATAATCAATATTAAAGCATTAAATAAAATACTTCAAAACTTACATGACTACAAAACATTCCATCATATGTGTATCACCCTTTTCTTAATCTGTTCAGTTACTCACCCTTTACCTTCTTTCTTACCTCTCCTAATTTCCTGGTTCATCTTGCTGTGTGTGTGTGTGTGTGTGTGTGTGTGTGTGTGTATTTGATACACCATCTTAAATCCTTTTTGGAAAAGACGGAATATATTATATATTGCATATAAGAAATTTAAAAAATCATTCCCTGAAAGCTGAGCGGTTCTAGTTGTTTTTCATTTGTCTGTTTTGCTGGCACTTTGGTGAACATCATTACACACACTTTTGTATTTAAGATTATAGCGTTAACGTAGATTCCTAGATTGGGAATTACTGGATCAGAAGAGTATGGATATTTTAAAGTTTCTTGCTCTTTATTGCTGAACTGCTCCCCTAAACAGCTCTTCAATTTATATTCTCATTAGCAAGTCGGAAGGTGCAGGTCTTAATACATTCCTACAGCAGTAGGTATATTTTTTAATGATCACTAATTTGCTAGCTAGCAAATGGCATCTGGTAGTTGACTTGGAACGTGCGTCTCTGAGTCCACACTCGAGGGCTGTGGGTGTAGGGAAGTCCATCGAATACCCTATCGGAGATTCTTGTCTTGCAGCTGACTTTGGTGTGTCTGCCAAGAATCTGAAAACTCTGCAGAAACGAGATTCCTTCATAGGAACGCCTTACTGGTGAGTGTGTAGCTTCTGGAAATGGAACGGTGGGCTGAGCTTTGCGCCTCCAAGTCCCCACGGTGACAGAAGGCGGGGGCTCCTGAGTCAGCCTGCTGGGTCTGAGCCCAGACTCCCCCACGTACTAGCACTGAGGCCTTGGCCGCGTCTCTCGCCTTCCTGTGCCTCAGTTTCCTCATCTGTAAAATCAGGGGTGTAGTAGCTCCTACGTAATGGGTTATTGTGAGGATTAAATGGGATGATGCATATAGAAAATGCCCCATTAATAACAACTGCACTGAAACCCCAGAGAAAATGGTTCGTGATGAATTCAACACGTATGAATTCAACAGGGGGCTGAGGCTGGGGCCATGAAGGTGAATCCTACCCTCGTGTGAAGTCTCCCCAGACCTCTCTAGTTCACTGTGTTTTCTTCTTTTCCAAAACTATTACTTAAACAACAACAACAAAGCCTCTCTCAGTTTCACACCTAACTGCTTCCTGTTTTTCACATGCGTTAATTGCTTCCTATTGTGGAGTTAGGTTCCTTTCTTGCTTATTACTCACTCACTCTTTCTCTCTCTGCCCTTTTATTCCTTTGTCCTTTTCTGTCCCATCCTCCTCTCTGTGCTGTTCTGTTCTCTCCACCTCCCTTCCCCCCCGCCCCAGTTTTTCCTGGGTACCTTCCCCACAGCCCCTACCCACCCCTCCCAGGACCCTGTGTTCTGGATGGCTGCTGCCATCTTGTGGTAGGAATCGGGAACTGCAGCAAGACCTGGTGGTGGAGCCGCTTGGAAGGCGTCTTTTCTGTGTGAAAACCGTGCTCAGAAGGAAGACAGTGGGATGGAAAGGAGTGCAGATCATGATTCGGGAGTGATGCCGACCTCCTGACATTGGCTTGTGCTGGTTCCCGACCCTGAGTTTGCGAGAAGTGCCTGTGGAGGCCAGGGTCTTAGCCTTCTGTTGTCCCTTGGTTGGTTCAGGATGGCCCCCGAGGTGGTGATGTGTGAGACCATGAAGGACACGCCGTATGACTACAAAGCCGACATCTGGTCCCTGGGCATCACCCTGATTGAGATGGCCCAGATCGAGCCCCCGCACCACGAGCTCAACCCCATGCGCGTCCTGCTCAAGATCGCCAAGTCAGACCCCCCCACGCTGCTCACGCCTTCTAAGTGGTAAGGAGCCAGGAGGCCTGCCCGAGGGTATTTGCTGGACGGCCAGTGGGCCCTGGACATGTGTCACTGCTGGGCCCCAAAGCCCCTTTCTGGGCTCCCTGGGCCCACATGGCGCTTTTCCTCCCTCTGCTCCTGACATCAGCTCTCCAGGTAACCCAAATAAGCTGGATGTAAGTCGCAAATATTGCAGGAATAAGAGCCCAGACCTGCCAAGCCACGTGGCAAGACCCTGGTCTGGGAACTGACGCTCAAACCCCAGCACTGCTGTGCTTTGCTGTGTGGCCTCGGGCACGTTTCTGCTCCTCTGATTTCCACGTCCCTGTCTGCCAGTGATGTCCATGACTGGAAGGTCATCGTGACGGCCCCTTCGCCTCCGCTGTTTAGCTTATAAAGACGCCCTTTGTCCTTTGAAGCGGGTGTTTGGGAATCACACGACTCTGGGAGAGCAGAGTCTGCAATGTGGGGAGTTTTCTTGATTCTCGCCTACTCCTAGCTGAGTGCCGCCACCTGTCCCCCAGGTCTGCGGAGTTCCGAGACTTCCTGAAGACCGCCCTGGATAAGAACCCCGAGACCCGGCCCAGCGCTGCACAGCTGCTGGAGGTGAGTGGTCCCCTCTCCCCGGTGGCCCCCTGCCCCTCGGCCCTGCCCTTCCTGCGGACAGATCACTCGTGACCTGAAAGCTGGGTTCATCCTCCTCCAGCCCAGGTGGCCACGTGCACAACTGTTCATGCATCAGCCAGTGTTCCCCTTGTGCCGGGGGGGTGGGGGGTCTGCGGTGAAGGAAGCCCCAGAGCCCTGTCCTCACCGGGCTTATGTTCTGGCTGGGGAGCCAGGCGGCAGACGAGCAGGTAGTGCACGTGGCAGGTGGAGAGCAGGGCTGTGGAGAAAAAGAAATAGCACAAGGATGGGGGCCTGGGAGGGGTTGCTCTCCTGTGAAGGACTCTGTGTGTAGACACCTAAAGGAGGCAAGGCGGCCAGGCAAGCAGTGCTCGAGAGCAGAGGCGAAGGCCTTCGACGGGAGCATGACTCGTGCGAGGCGGGAAAGCCAGGAGGCCAGGGCGCGGGAGCCGGGGCGAGGGGCAGGGGTCTGGAGGTGAGCTCCGAGCAGTGTGGGGCGTGTCCTGCCCCGGGTTCAGTGATGCCCTGCGAGAACACACGGGACTCCGCACACAGTCGGACTCACCACCGTGACTTATTACAGCCGAAGGATACAGAGAAGGAGGCACGTGGGGGCACCCAGGCAGGAGCGCCCAGAGCCCCCTCCTGGGGGAGTCGTACGGGGCACACTTGGTTTCCCCAGGGGTGAGCTGTGGCGATGCGTGTGAGGTGTTGCCTGCCTGGGCAGCACGCTGGGGAACTCAGGGCCCGGGGTTTCCTGGGGGCTGCTCACGTGGGCAGCCTCCGCCCAGCACGTCCAGGGTTCCGGGCTGCAGAAAGCCGGCGGGCGTTTGGCATGAACCACATTGTTTGCACAAATGGTTTAGGCCCCTCTTATCAGTCAATGGTGGGAACCCTCCCCAAGTCCAAGTTCCCAGCGGAGGGCCAACAGTGGACACAGGCCTTTCAGAGAGGAGTGGGGCCAGGTCACAAGGGTCATGCAGGGCCTCACAGGATGTGGGCTTCACCATGTGCGATGGGGCATCCTTGAGGGTTTGGAGGAGGTAAATACGGTCTGATTTACACTTAACAAGGGCCCCTCTGGCTGTTGGGTGTGGAATCTGGGAGGCCAGCCAGGATGACAGCTGACTCAGGGAGTGTCCCCTTAGCAGGCTGAACAGCCTTAGGGCGGGCAAGTGGGTGACAGTTTTCTTGAAGCTTTTTTTGAAATATTGGAGGTACTGGTGAGCCACCCTTCCCCAGGGCTGATGTCAGGGTGTCCACGGCTGGCAGCCGACGGGGTGAGTGTCAGACCATCTGCAACAGTGTTCAGAGAGCTGCCCGCCCCGCCTGCCCACCAGGCTGCCTCCAGGTCTGCTGATCACTGTCCCCATGCCACCAACGCTCTTGGGGGAGGGAGAGGAAGTGGGCCTGGGTGATGCCGAGGGGCTGCCCTTCCACGCCCTATCCACGCTGGTCCTTCCACTGTGTGACAGCCTCTGACGTGCGGTGGGAGGAAAGGAGGCAGACGCCCCGCCACACACTTGAGTCTTTCTTCGCATTCAGCTGCTTTTCCCAGGTACCTCCTTTCTGTGCACCAGGGGCTGGGGCCATGGTTGGCGCTCGAGGCTACAGTGCATCCCTCTGGGGTGTGCAGCACAGTGATTAAGTGTATGGACTGGGGTTGAAAAGCCCTGGGTTCAAAGCCCAGCTCTGCCACTCATCGGCTGTGAGACTTTGGTCGAGTGACTTAACGTCCTGGTGACTCTGTTCTCACTATGAAGAGGGGAGCATAGCCAGGCCCCCCTTGTTGTGAGTGTTAAGTGAGAAGATACTATACAGTACTTAGCTTAACTGCTCAGCGCTGAGCTCAGTGAATGTTTGATGCACTGAATTGAATTATTAAAAAATGGAAAGAAATTGGGGTGCAGAATGGGGGTGTCTGTGTGCTAAGGGATCATGATTGTTCCCTGTAGATTTCTGCATTCCATGTGAAATACACGTGTCTGGAGCACTGGAGGCCTCATTTGCTGAGTATTGTGGTGTTTGGTGGGGCAGCGTCGGGGAGGGGCTGGACTGGGCCAGCCACAGGTGGGGGTGGGGTGGGCCTGCTGTCGCGGCCAGAGGCAAGCTCCCAGCTGCTTGGGGCCAATTGTTTCCTGTGAGCAGGCACCTCCTGGCCTCATACATCCGGCCTGCAGGACATGAGGCCTCCGGGAAGAGCCCAGCTGTCTCTCATCCCCTCCTGGCAGACCGGGAGCCCCATCCTAAGCTGGAATTTCCGCCCCATAGTTGAAAAGAGGTCCTGCCGGAGGATTCTTAGCTGAGACAGAGGATGGCAGAAAGGAGAGCTCCCTCCAGATAAGGAAAGGTCCTTTCAGAGATGAGGCTTTTTCCAAAGACCTGCTCTTCTCTGAGTTAGAGAGGGTGGGGCATTATTACCCACCTAGGTGAGGACCCGGAGGCTCAGGGCAGGGAATTGGCCTGCTGAGGTCACCTGGCTTTGAGTGGCCAGAGGGAGGCCCAGACCTTGACTCCCAGCACCCCTTCCAGAGCTGGTCACACCCCCACCTCGGCCCTGGCCTCTGCCTGCTGCCCGCAGGTTGCTCCTGGCCCCTGCTCTCTCCCTGCGGCCTGACTGGTTCACAGTTCATTCATTCACTTGCACAGATATTGTCTGGACCGTATCCCAGGGCGGTAACCCAGGCTCTGACATCAGCCTCGCCCTCCTGGAATCCAGGTGGTCCTCGCTCTGAGCCTCAGTTTCCCCATCTGCTGGAGGTGGATTGTGCTCTTGTCACAGAATTGTGTGAGGGGATGCAATTCTGTCCCCACCCACTGTCTTTAGCATAACAGCTGTCACACATCTGGGGCTCGGTATCCACTGGTTGACTCTGTTCTTCAGCCCACCTCGCTCGGTCACCATCACGACCACAGCATCCTTGTCCGGGTTGCCCATTCCTTCTGGACCATGTGGTCTGCTCAGGCCCCAGCGCTTGTCTGGCTGGTGCCAGCAGCTGCTGCAGCCGACCTTCGTCCCCTTGCTGTAGGCGCCTGGTGTCAGGTCTCCGTGCCCTCCAGGTCCCCTTCCTCCTCACTGGTCACCCTCTCAGTCTCCTAGTGCTGTTCCTCTTTCTCTCCAGCTGATCAGTGGGAGGTGCCCCAGGGCCTTCCGTTCCATCTCCACTCACCCTGATGGTCTCGTCCAGTTTGCCACGGCTCCCGCATTCCTACCCATAACCCCCACTGCCATCCTTGCCCTCCGGCCCTCGTATCCAGCTCTTTACCCTCCAGCCCCCTCAGAGGTTGATAGGCATCTCATCAGCTTAACACGTCCACAGCTGAGCCCCCGATCTTTCCCCAAATGTGCTCTCCTGGTGACTTCCTGGCTTGGTCAGTGGCAGCCCCACCCTTCCAGTAGTCAGACCCCAGATCCTCAAGCATCTTTAATCCCTCTCTTTCTTGCATAGTCCATATCCATTCTACCGGGAAATCCTGTGTCCCTGCCTTTAGAACACGCCCAAAATCCAACCACTTCTCACCACCTCATTGCAGCCACCAGGTTTGAGCCAGTGCCATCCCTTCCTTGGATTATTGCCTCCTCGTGGGTCTCCGTGCCCTCCTTCAGGCTGTTCTCAGCCCGGCAGCCAGAGAGAACTTTTAAAACATGTCAGCTCCTGTACCTCCTCGGTCCAAAGCCCCTTAATGACTCCCATCTTACTCAGTGACCTACAAAGTCCTGCATGACCTGCCCACCCCACCTTGACCCCTCAGACCTGTCTCTCTCTGGCCCCTCACTCTTTGCCAGCCACCCCAGCCTCCTTGGTATTCTTCAGACACTCCAGGCACACTCCTGCCTCAGGGCCTTTGCACTGACTCTCCGCAATGCCTGAGATGCTCTTCCTCCATATACCTCCATGGCTGACTCTCTGTAAGTCATTGCTTAGATGACAGCTTCTTTGTGAAGCCTCCCCCAAGCACCCTGTTTAAAACTGCAAACCTCCTGCACCCCGACATTCCTAATTCTCCTTCCCTGCCCTACTTTTGATTTCTCCATGCTACGTAGCACTCATATATCTTATTTTTTACCAAGTTTATTGTTGATCTCCCTGACCAGCATGTCTGTGCCCTGAGGAGAGCAGTCTTTGTTTTATTCACTGATGTGCCCCAATCATCCAGAACAGTGCCTGGTATGGAGAGAGCCCTCAACCAAGTATTTGGTAAATGCATTTACTTATTTTTACTTAACAAACTATTATACAACCTTTTCTCCATGCCAGGTTCTATTCTGTTTCTAGCAAATGTTAACTAATCGAATCCTCATAACAACCCTGCGAAGTAAGTACAATTTGGATCTCTTCTGAAACAGATAAAACTGAGACACAGAGAGGTTAAGTAACCTGCACAAAGTCAAACAGTTTGTAAGTGACAGAGCTGGGATTCTCATCCTGGTTACCTGTTCCAAAGGCTGTTCTTTTGACCGCTGTAATAAGCTGATTCTCTGAATGAATGAAGGAGAAAAAGAAGGAATGAAAGAGAAAGAGAGACTGGAAGAGATGGAAGAAAGTTCAGAGAGAAGAGGGCAGGAATTGGCAGAGAGATGCTGACACCTGGAAACTTGAAAGCATTGTTAGGCATTTTCTAAAGCCAGTCTTGGAGTGTGGGACACCCAGGCTGATGGTTTCTAAGCACACCGAGGAAAACTAGGCTCAAGTTCCTGGAAAGGATGACTGTGTAGATGGCAGGAGAGGTCCTGGCCGAGGGTGGGTGCCAGCTGGCGAGCTCTGTGGCATCTTGGGGCTCCCTACAGAGATAGCACGGAGCAGCTGCTCCTCTTCCTGAAGAAGCAGGCGGCTGAGATTCCCTCTGATCCAGGCCTTCCATCGGGGTGCCCGAGCACCTTTCTGGGGACCCCTGTACCCAGACCAGCCCATCCCTACGCAGATGCGCGGGAAGGTCCTGCACCCTCCTGCACAGGGGCTAATGTCTCCAGGGGGCTTGGCAGCTTGGCGGTTAGAGAAACGTCTTTTCTGAACACATCCTTGGAGGTAACAGAGCTGATGTGGTGGGGGAAGTGGTCTGTACTTTGTGTCCCAGAGCAGTTTACGAAACAGTGTTCTGGGTCTAATCAGACACAGGAGGGCCTGCCCACCTGCCAGTCCCGCTTGCTGAGGGATTCCAGGAGCTTGGCGTCCTGCTCACTTGCCCCTCTGTCGGAGGCTTTCTTCCCCACAGCACCCGCTCCACTTCCTGAGGACCCCAGGGTGCTCAAGGGAGGCCATGGAGCAGATGTTCAGCCTCAAGAAAGCAAGGCTCCTGGCCAAGCTGAAGAGCCACTGATTTGGTTAATATGTGATATGCACCGGTGAAAACCTGCCATTTCCAGAAGCCTGCGTCTGCATTATTTATTTCTCCACATCTGCTTCAGCCACTGCAGTGCAGTGTCCCGTGGCTTCTCGCTCAAGTTGACATGCGTGCGGTTGTGCAATGTGAAGCTCGGGGACCTGATTTTCACCCTCAGTTCTAAAAACGCTGCGCCCTGTGGGAATGCAGGAGGGAACGGGAATGGCTGGGAGAGCAAACTGGTACTTAAAGGCTTCTCTGATTGTGATTCTGCTGCTGCTGCTGGTGGTGGTGGTGGAGGTTGTAATGGTGATGATGATATTGGTGGCTGTGATGGTGGTAACAATGGTGGCAGTAGTGATGATGGTGATGATGGTGGTGATGGTGGTGGTGGTGATGGTGGTGGTGGTGATGGTGGTGGTGATGGTGGTGGTGGTGGTGGTGGTGGTGATGGTGGTGATGGTGGTGGTGGTGATGGTATAGATGACAGAGCTGCCATATTTTGAGCTCTTACTATAGTGCTTAGAACAGCCATACTATTTCCAGTACACAGATGAGCAAACTGAGGCTCA